TTACTTCACCATTTATGATGATGAGTACGGATGCGTACACCATCATCATCATACCTCGCATGATACTCAGGACTTTGTTGACCTCTAGACGTCCGATTACGGACAACTAACCCGACTATGATGGGTCTAGGGGGGTACAAATCGCCTGATGACTCACGCTCTCACATGTGAGTCGTGTGTAAAGAATTGCTACACATCCAATTTTGTCTTAACTGGAGGCCACCTCTACGATAGTTTTAACGATAGATCCTTAACATGAGTTGCATGTGTTTGCATTTCCCTGGCCCAAATGGGATTACTTACTGACCATTTCTTAAAATACTAAGTCTTGTGCTACTTCTATTTTTCAAGTAAAGGCAACGCACCCCTATGCGACTGACGATGACATCGCAAATAAAGACCATGACACATGCATAGGATAGTTGTATTTTAATTCTTATACCACATGTTAGTATAGGGCATTTTTCAATTTAAGATTTATTTATTTTATTAAATATTTCGTATGTCCCTCTAAAGACATTTTGAAACATGTAAGTCTACAACAATGTTTTACGATGATATTTTAAAATATTATTTTCGCATAAGAGATGATGTTATGAAAATGGCACTTTTAAAGTCAGTTAAAAATCTAGGGTCGTTAAAGTTGGTATCAGAGCTTTAGGTTATAAATTATGTAGACTAGCCTACAAGATAGACTTGACATGTTATATAATCCCATCGTCAATGCTTCGTCATCGTCACGTATGTCATGCATAAGATAAGAAAAAAATTTGGGTAAATATCACTGTTGCTTGACCATTATCGAATGTAGCTCATGATTGAATTTGTCACTATTGACCGTATTATTTTTTTTACTGAGTTCTATGTTTACTATGATATAGCACATGATATGATTTACCTTGCATGACATGTGAAAGTTAATTGATGTATTGATAATGTTTAGATGTTTAGATTTAGCCAAGTTTGTAGTGTGAATGAGGAGCCATAGTTTAGTAAGCTACTAAATGCAAGCGTATGCACAGAAATGATTTTGTTAAGAAAAGCCAAATGTTTCAGTTAGATGTCTTGAACATAGTTAAAAAAAAAAAAAACGAAATGTTATGACCATAGAGATGGAAAGGAATGTACCAACATATACTAACGAGTGAATAGTTTTAAATGCAAATGACTAAGAAAACTTGATAGACGACAATATCTTATAGTTTGCTATAGATATTGAAAGTGATAATGTCGAAAGAAAATTCCGTCACTACGAAGTGGTCACAGTTTTATAGGTATGTATCGAGATGGACTACAACGTGAAATTGTCAAGATATTTTAAATTTAGGAAACCCTTCTTTAAAACAAAAATTACAAAAGTGGAAATTGTCACTAAATCAATTAGAAGTTGCGTGGTAATTTCCCAGTACCCCTACACAAATACATTGTAAAAGCTTAATATAAACTAATTTTTGTAGAAAATTAATAATGAACTTTTACTAGTAATGTCAAGCCATTTCAAAGGTATTACAGCAGTTACCGTTTCAAGACTCTCATTTTAAGTTGAATTTTTTAGTATCCCAAGTATGGTCGCAGACGAGAATCTCCACTACGCTTATATAATATCAGTTTTTAGACGAAGAAATTGTTAAGCTCCCCTTCTTGGTGTTACCAAGGGGTTGAAAAAAAAAAAAAAACCTTTTGAGCGCATGAAAATTCACGTACCCAAGTTTTGCATGTCATAGTCAGCCTGGGTCAATAGAGAGGTAGATTGGCTGATCTCCAACAATATGTTGTATATGCGGCATTGCGACCGTTTTACCTTCATCAACAAGGCTCCATTTTTGTCCAATATCTTGAAGAACGAGCTGAATAACTCGACTTTGATGTCTTCTTCTATCATTTGATCAAGATTATAGTATTACTTTTCAAGATTGGGATGTAATATACCTTGATCAGTAGACGTTGATCACCATTCTTGCATTGGAGCAAGATGGATCATTTTCCTTGGATAGATACAATTAGTCCACCACCAAACACCACGTTTCCAATGAGCTTCTTGTGAAACTCCTTGAATTTTGCTCGATCTCTAGTTACGTGGTTGTTCGTTTCTTTGTCAAAGTATCACATGTTGATCTGCACTCGGTCATCTTCACTTACAATGAGGTTTTTCATAACCTTCTCTTTATTGAGCATCAAGAGGTTGGATATCTTCTCGACCAACATTAGTGTGGGCTCTTTGTCATGCGTGAATGTGAGGTTTGCCTTCTCAATTTACTTTTTGTTGCGACACTCTACCACATAATGTCTGTAGTTACCACAAGAGTAACACTTGATCATGCTCGTATCCTTTCAGGGAGTTGACATCGCCATGAGTTTTTGAGGTATTGTTGCGGCCTCCTCTACCGCTGCGTCTGCGACCACGATCGAGGTCACGCCCTCGACCTCTACTTTCCTTGTTGTGTCTGTCGCATCCCTCTGTACCTGAAAAAGAAGAATCAGCCGCATTTTTTTTTTTTGTCTGTGTGAGTAAGAGGTGTTTTTTCTCCTCTCTATTATCTCATGAGTCTTGAGACGACCCGTGACCTCCTCAACTGACATGTTCTTGAGGTCACCAAACTGCTCAATAGAGGTAATAATCTATATGAATTACGAGGAGACGACTCGAAGAAACTTCTTAGCGACAAAGATCTCTTCTGCCCTACCGCCTAATAAACGGATGATGGTGACAATAGTTGTCAACTTCATGGCAAATTCATCTGCCGACTCACCATCCTTCATGTGGATAACCTCAAACTCAGCACTTCAAGTCTGCATCTTTGCTTCCTTGACCAATTCCGCACCCATATGCATTGTTTGTAGCGTCTTCTATGCCCTGCGCCTTTAAATTAACTCACATATTTATTGACCATGCTACATATTTCGTTACACTCCCCTCCTTTCTACTCTTTATCATTGTCATATCTCTTACGATGATTGTATTAAAGAAAGTTAGGCAGAGTGGCTTTTCAATTCTATTTATAGGAGAGAAAAGACTAACAATTTCCCTTCGGGTGCTCCACAAGTTAATAACTACAAACTATTCTCCTAAGATTGATGAAAACCATCTTCATAATCGAAAGGTTGAGCATAGAGGAGTAAAATACATTATTCCCTTTTCCTCCGCATAGCTTCAAGAGATGATCATATGGTTTTGATCGATTACTTTTGTGTCTACAAATTTCTCCAAGTAACAATCCGAAGTCGGAAGCTCTTGGAGCACTACAGAGGCGAGGCATACAGGTCGAGCCCGAAAATTGATTCGAGTTCTTCAAGTTTAGCTCCATGAACAAATGCTTCTATTATATACCGTTTTAACTTATGATCTTCAATTTTGTTGATTGTTAGGTAGTACAATAAAAAAATCTTTATTGCTATCCCAAAGGATGGAAGAGAATAAATATTTATTGCTATCTTTTGGATTTGAGATATATATTGCTCCTCTAGTCGCTTTCTCTTCATCCACGATGTTGTAATGCTTTCATATACCTACAAAAATGTGATAGCCAACGTTACGACTCTTCTTAAACTCATCATCGCTGGCGACACCTTAAGTGGTATCGCGTCCCAAATACATGATGTACTTACCACTAAAAGCCCGAGACTCGTTGCTTATCCTTTGTGTGGCGTGAGTGATTTCGTAAGGGAAATTGTCTTCTTTTTACCTCTCTCTCTCTCTCACTCCCTTTTTTTCTTGGAGATGGGTTATGTGAGGAGCGATTGAAGCGTGAGGAGCATCTGAGTAGGCGTCTTCTAGCGCCTCAACCCAATATTCGACAATATCTCATACAAACTCATCACGTATGATACCTCACTCATATATTTGTACATAAATGATTTGATAACAATTACAAAGCAAATCATATCAATCGTGTTATTATGATAAAGCACGCAACCTTAAACATATAGTATAGATCCAATAGATTATTACTTGAATATGATTCTCTTATATGACACCCATGTACGATCTTATCCAATACATAATATTAAATTATAAATAAAATAATCAAAATAATTATTAAAATTAAATAATGAATTACGAGATTTTAGAACATAAACCCAAACACATAATTCAAAGTTACATCATACAATTGTTTTATAAATTTCATGAACCACAAACATATATTCCACTATTATTCTCTTTAAACTAAAAGAACACATTCGATATGATTTAAAAACGATGTATTTACTAACTTTAACTTTAAGCTCCATTCGTGTATTTCAAGCATCTCAATCATGAACTCGACCTTCATCTGAAGTGATCGGTTTGTTCTCATTAAATTCATCCATTTAACCAAAGTCCAAAAAGAAAAAGAAAAAAAACATTCCTCCTTGTTGGTGCATAGCACAAATGATAGCCACACAAATATTTTTATTCTCTAACCCTCCTCACTAAAAAAAAACTATACTTTCAAATATTCCTTATCGTTAGGAATATTAATTTCACGACACAAGCGGAATAAAAATTAAATTTGATGATCAATTTAAGTATTGTCTCAGTTGACAGCAAACTTGCGATTATGATTATGGCGCACTCACTTCTCAACAAAAAATAAGTTAAAGTCAATTTATTTTTGCGTCGTCTACGGCCAAGCGACGTATGCTAGAGCGGCTGTTTGAGCTACAACTTCTTCTCAACCCCCTCCTCCCACCACCACTACCACCGATAAAAACAACAAATCAGACGATTGAAGAAGAATTACAGAGGTGTATGCTCGAGCCGCTAGCTCCAGTTCAAGAAGAAAGTTTTAGAAAACGGGGTAGAGAGTTTTGAAAGCAAAATTTGAGAGATGGCGACCAAAAAGGCAATAACAACCGCTTACAGCATATAACTATTGGGTACAGGATAATTAAAATATATATTTTTAATATAGAAAAGAAATATTTAGAAGAGAATCATATTCTTACCTTTGTTCTACCTCTGTGTTTTTAGGTCTCTTACTTTATACGTATTCTGTTGTTCCTTTACGCACGGACTCCAAAGCTTCCACTTTTCTTCGCCGATCACCACAAGTTTTCAGCCAATAAAAACCCCATTTTTCAGTATTTAAACCCATCAAATTCATCTCAGATCACCTTCAAAATTTCAAACCCAATCTTCCTCTGTTTCAACCACAAAAAACAGAGCAACCCCAACAACAAAAAATGCCGATGAACCCAAATCTCCTCGACCTGCAATACAGAGTCTCCAAGAAAAAGTTCCTCCGGGAGCCCTCCCGACTGTTCTCCTTCAAGGACCGGCAGAGCTCCGGCGTCCGGCGGGCTCTGCAACCGAGCACGGAGGAGATCAAGCAGATCTTCAACAAGTTCGACACGAACAGAGACGGGCTGATCTCAAAGCACGAATACAGGGGAGTTCTGAAGGCGCTGGGGAGAGGGAACTCGATGGAGGAGGTGCAGAAGATTTTCAGGGCGGTGGATACCGACGGCGATGGGTACATAAACTTGAATGAGTTCATGGAGGTTCACCGGAGTGGGGACGGAGTTCAGGCGAGAGATGTGGAATTTGCTTTTAAGACGTTTGATTTGAATGGGGATCGGAAGATTAGTGCAGAGGAAATTATGAGAGTGTTGAGGGGATTAGGGGAAAAGTGTAGCATTGAGGATTGCCGGCGGATGGTGAGGGCGGTGGACAGCGACGGCGACGGTATGGTGGACATTGATGAGTTCATGACTATGATGACTCGCTCTGTGATGTAATGTTTAAGGGATGTGTTTGAACTTTGAACTTCAACGACTCTTTTTCTTTTATGGAAGTCTGGTGAATCGTATAAGTGTTTAATTTAAATTTTATTTCGTCTTAATTTGAATTTACAGCTACCTTCGTTCCATCATAATTATACTTCCACTTTAATTTAAAATAAAATATTTGGGGGCTAAATTAATAAAAAGGCTAGCTAGTACAAGGTGCAGTTGGCTTCCTCTCGGCCACAAGTGACTTATTTATGTAGTGGTCGGCATTCCAATGTGCTCCTCCTTGCTCACCGACTTCAGAATCTAAAAGTGACCTGTGGATGTTGTCGTGACGCTTTGGTTACGAAGGTTGGCGGGGTCTAGGTTTATGGATGGATTTAGTCAACGAATGTCCAACTCAATCAATATCAACAACATGGCGTGGTTAGGCTTGGTTGATTTTGTCAGAAAAAGAAAGTAGGTTTCAGGGGAGAGAATCATTGGGAGTGAGTCCCACATTGGTTAATTTAGTGAAACATTATGAGTTTATAAGTGAGGAATACTATCTCTATTGGTATGAGACATTTTGGGGAAATCCAAAACAAACCCACGAGAGCTTGTGGTTTGCATCCAAAATTAATGTAGGAGTATTTTAACAATGGATTGGTAACGCGAGCAACCTACATACATTAATTTAAGTATATAATGAATAAAGAAATAAATATATTGGGTACAATTTTGTAGGGTTTAGGGTTTGAAGTCAAATTTTAGTATTTGGCATTGTGGATGCTCTAATATTATTATACAATTATTCCTTTTTACACTTAATAATATTCTAATACCTAAAAGAATCAAATTCCTATCTACATCAAGATTTTGATATACACGTTAATCATCTTAAATGATTTTATTCAATCGTTTAAGATAAATTAAAAAGTCAAAGGTTCGAATCTTCTTCTTTACATATTATTAAATTTTTTAAAAAAATCTAAAATAAAAAAACTCTATTTTATAAACAAGTCAAAGTTTATGATTGGGTGGGTATCTTAGATGCTCTAATATCATTTTCAAAAAATTATATTTTTGTTCATAAATTTCAAGATATACATTTTTGTGTTCCTAAATTTTGAGAAACACGTTTGAAAGACTGGTTGAAGTAATTATTTTAATTATTTAATCCTAAAATAATTTTTTTTTTTTTTAAAAAAAACTTTATTACAACTCACAAAATTTAATAAAATTTAGCTTTATTGTTATTTTCCTTTGCACAATCCTATCAATTTTGCATCATACAAGAGAGTATCGTTGATGCTGTTTATAACTGTAATGAAGTAACAATAAAACTAATATGCATCCAAACCATGTCTCTCTTAAAATGTTTGAAATCAGGAAAGCTTTAACAAAGAATTCAAGGTATGGTATGCCACTCCCATGTTTCCTTTTGCTATAAGTTCATAACTCCTTTCTAATTCAGTTCAGCAAGGAACGGTAGCAAAAGAAGAAAAAAACATGATGATAAGACGAATGATTAAGCATCAGGATAAGCATACCGTATGAGGCGGGCTAGCTCATCTCCGATCGGTACCTCGTTCCTGGGTTTGGATAATCATTTTGATGGTTTGACACTTTACATTGAGCTGCTGCTATGGGGACGACAAACTCATCAGGTACCTGTTGTGGGGTGTTGTAGAATGATGATGGGTTCACCAGTAATCTCCACAAGAACATTTACCATCCTTAAAATGATGGAACCGTTTGTTGTCCCTCACAATTAACTCTCTCCCAACAATTCTAGACATGATTTTGATGGCGTTGTGACAGTCACCACATATCCTTAAGTTCTTAATAATCCTAAGAGGTGTTCGTGCCGGAGTACTGATCAACCCGTATGCGATTGCCAATCGTTCGCTATGATACAGCAATGCCTGTTCTTTGGCCTCCTGATCGATATCGTGAAGAACGTATCGAGTATCGGGAACATACCCTTGTTCTTTCATTGCCTTTAAAGCCTTCAACTTCTCGTCATCTTTGTAGAGAGTTGGATTTCTGAATTCACTAATCCTGTTCTTCCCATCAAGCATGCTAATTGCAGACCGCCTTTTGGGAGGTGGTGTAGGTATCTTCTTACTCGAGGCAGCTTTCGTCGGGTCCAGATCCACAATTAGCTCCTCGGCATAGTCTTCAAGATCAACATCTCCATGAATTCTAGCATAGTTTTTCAATGTCTCCCATACCTCAACCGTCGGCTCCATGGGCAGTTTTTCGCCGTACTCGAAAGCTTCGTTCATATGTCCAGGTTCTCCAAGGACACCCAAGAGCCCCAAATAATGATCCAGATCTGGGTTGATTTGATAATCATTTTTCATTGACTCAAAGTACATAAATCCTTCTTCTATAGCACTCGCACTAGCACAAGCTCGCATTACAAAAAGAAAAGTTTGTGAATTGGGTTGCAATCCCAGCTTCTGCATACTCTCAAATAACTCCAGACCCTCATCACCCAATCCATTCTCTGCATATCCTTTTATCATCAAATGCCAAGAGTCAATATTCCTGTCAGGCATATGGTCGAACACCCTCCGTGCATCACTCATGCTTCCACATTTCCCATACATCTCAAGAACTTTATTATTCAATTGCAGATCGCTTCTACAAGTTGACTGTAAAAAGTAATCATGAACTACTTTAGCGTTGTCGAATGAATTTGATTTCCCACACAGATCAAACAATACAAGGAAACAATCAGCATCAGCTTTAACACCCTCTTTCAACAACTCAACAGCTTCTTTAATCTTTCCCTCTTCACAAAAGCGCCGCAGTTCATCAATAGGAGATACAGAGGGATTTGGCGCTTGATTATTCAACTGATAAGAATTCTCTACTTGTGGGTTCCCCTGCCCAGGCCTTCCAAATTGTGGGTATCCCTGATTTTGATTGTTCCATTGGTTGGGGCCTCTTTGTTGTTGATAATTGAAATGTTGAGCGTTCGGCTGCGGAGGATTTTGATACTGCGGGTAGCTCTGATTCGGAGGATTCCACGAATTAGGGTTACCGGCTTGAGAATAGCCCTGACCCTGCCGGGAAAATCCAGGATTCGGGTGAGAGCTCTGGTTCTCACTCCGATAATTCATTTGATTATTAGAGCTTCCCTGTTGAACATAGTCGCGATTCTGAAACTCCGAGAAGGACTGATTATTAAAATTCCCACTCCGAGAATGAACTTGGTTCGGTGAGCCCCATTGGCCCTGAAGAAATCGAGGATCGGATGAAGAATGTTGTTGCGGCGGTGGAGGGAAATTTGAGAAATCATTAGGGGTTGCCGAGGTGCATAGGGCTTTGATTAGAGTCTCTGTCTGGTTTCCGCATGAAAAGATAAAACGAGAAGGGAGAGACGACCGTACCTTTAAGAAGAAGGAGATAAGAATGGGGGTTCGAGCACGCCGGACCGCCATGAGAGACGCCATTTCTGATCGGAAATGGCCTAAACCCTAAGAAAAGGTTGAATGAAACCTCAGCCATTACTTCCAGCTTAAGGAGGAGAGTTTTCAATTTGCATTGGGCTCAGATGTGGGCTTAGATCAAGGCCCAATTTTAAAAGAGGCCCAATATGTTTAATTTTGACAAATTATCATTTTATAAGGACTAATTATCAAGCTAGTGCCAATTGAGCCAAATCTTAACTCTACATTGTTTTCTTCTCATGAATTTTTAATGTTGTTTGGTTCTTTTCAATCCGTTAAATTTCACCATGTATATGTAACAACCGAGTCAAAAATGGATACATGAATGAACCGAAACTACGTTCGAATGTGACTCATTCTTAGGATAGGATGGTTAAAAATGTTTAAAATAATTGAAAGTCACTACCTATACCAATAAGGTGCACGTTTCTTTTTCAGTGGCTCAATCATAGGAACTCCAAGGTTAAATATGATTTGTGTTCGAGTAATTTTATGCTGAAAGTACTCTGTTGGTATGTGGGGATATCTTTCATTCTTATAAGTTAGGAGTAAGAAACATACGTCAGAGTCGTGAAGTACTAAATGATCGGAAGAAAATGTTGAGAATTCTAGCAATTATATCTAAGACCAAAATACATACAAACACGAGTACTTTCATCATGTTCAAAATTACCTTCTTTTTTTTTTTTTTATCACTCCCAAACAATTCGAAATCTTCATGTTGCCCGTTCCAAAACCAATGTTCTATAAAAAATACATACCATCTATAATAGCAAACTGTATATCCGAAATGTCATATATGTAATGATAAAATATGTTATGATATGTCATGATATATTATGCTATGATATGACATGATATGTGTTGAAATAAGGAGATCTATGATGCACAACCTTCATATGTCATGCCATGGAAGCTATGTTATATATGAAATATTGTATAAGAATTATGTACGCATAATTATCGGGTATAAGGTTTGTCTTGCATAATTTATTATGTCGTGATGGAACGTATGTGAACTTCATGCATAACTGTGTGTTCACGTGTATCAAGATATTTCGCCCATTATGATGAACATGGACACATACACTATGAGACTAATTATGACAAGTATATTCGCCATGATGATATGATAGTCGATATTCCCTCCAAGTGTTCAGCAACAATCCGTTAGCTAGTGCTAGCCCGACCAACAGGCAAATGGGGTGTGCGAGCCCGCCTACTGAATCCACATTCCATGTATGAGTCGTATATAGAGAATACTATACATTCAATTTAGCTCGAATTGGAAAGTCGCCCAAGAGAATGAAATAATGTTTTAAATGATAGGTCCCGCCATGTTGACAATAGTGATATCACTTATTGAGTAATTTAAAAAATACTCAAGCCATTTGTTATTCCTACCTTTCAAGTAAATGCAAGACACCACAATACAAATGACGTAGATGATGTGTGAAGACCATCAAACCGATGCTCGGGTAATTCATTTCATTTCTCATGTCTTTTTGATTAATTTAAGAATATTCATTTCATTTCTTATTTGTCTTTTTGATTAATTTAAGAATTTTATTTTTAACGTGTAAAAACAAACACGTCTTTAACATTTAAAAGTTATTTTTAAGCCCTTAAAACCCACATGGGCGAAAAGAATTTTCTTTTTCTTGAGACATTCCTATTTTTAGTTAAAGCCCCACACAACACAATTAAAGTTGAATGTGCACTTCGATGGAATGACTTTAATGGAGAACGTGGAATGGAGACATTCCTATTTTTAGTTAAAGCCCCCACACAATTAAAGTTGGAATGTCCACGTGAGTGGAATGACTTTGATGGAGAAGACGATCCACCCATGTTAATGCTTGGACAACAAAACTACGATTTTCCTGATAAAAAATTCAATTTCACGTCACCGGAACTAGCACATAAAAATCAGATTCCACTACATTCAGGAATATGCAGATAGGGGCTCATCAAGATTGATTTCATCCGAACAAAGGAACAGCTTGTAGACATTTTCACTAAATCTCTAGCACAGGTGAAATTTGAAGAACTTCGCTTGAAGATCGAACTTCAAACAATAAGATAGATATACACAATACTTGAGATTGTTAGATAAATCCCTGTTTTTATGTTAAAAGTCATTTTTAGTTTCCAAATGAGATGATTTAATTAAGTTGTCGCTCCTTTCCATTTTTAGGATATAATTGTTATTTAAATATGCCAATGAGAAACAGATCCTCCTGTCTTCCGAGCAGAATCTTAAATATTGTCATCTCGAGTTTTTTCTTTTTTTTTTTTTTTTTCTTGTTCCAGCGGTTTTTCCTCAGACAATTTCAGCAAATTGCTCCATCAAATAATATCAGAGCAAGGTTTAATGTACCTGTAGTATATCATTGCGGAGGAGCCAACTTTATCAGAGCAAATAGCTCAATTGGTTAGAACAGACAGAGGTATCTAACAGCATCATTTCCAGAAACTCGAGCGAGGGGTTGCTCCATGTCATAAAAAACAGGGTCATTTCATTAACATAACCTGATATTACAATTACAACAGTCCAGAGAGAGAGAGAGAGAGCTAAGACTGACAATTACCTGAAAGCTCCCTTGTTTTTTCTTAGTCAAAATGCCATGGATACTTCTAATAAACAATGTGGCAAAGCCAATGTCCGAGTTACTTCTTCCCTGCCAGAAAAAAATGAACAAATTACCAGTGAATACGAGACATCAAAATTGAATGCTGATTACTTGTAAACTCAGTAATTGTTTGACCCTCTTTTCAGGCATCCATTACCATTCAAAAACATGTGAACAGCAACACTAAAAAACGCATACGAAAACCAAACCTTTACTTGCTGATCTAGTACTTCTTTTGCCACTCTTTTCGAGTTGGGAGACCTCGGAATTCTCGCATTTATCTGATTTATCTTCAGAATTATTTGCCATGATTTTGTGCCCTGATGATCTGGTACTTCTTTGCCCACTTTTTTCCGACTGGGTATCATCGGAATCCTCATTGGTATCTTCTTTGTCTTCCAAATTGTACGCCCTGATGATATATACCTATGAATGCAAGGTTAAGCTCATTACTAATATTTACTCAAATTTCAGACAGGATTCGAGCAGTGATGTTAACAACTTCAAAGGGGAAGACATTTTTCGTGTCATTTATGTGAGATTCCAAGATTGAGAACTGAAGATTCATCTCAACCTAAAGCCTGCGCTTGAAAAATGAATGGTGAAATCTTGAAATGTGAGTTACAATGCTAAGTCAATTCCATAATGATATCACGAGGAAGAAAAAATTGAGTTACATTGATGAACACGACTCTCCACAATGGTATGATATTGTCCACTTTAAGCATAAGCACTCGTGGCTTTGCTTTGGGCTTCCCCAAAAGGCCTCACACCTATGGAAAGAGTATTCTTTAATAATAAACCAATGATCATTTCCTAAATTAGCCGATGTGGTGTGAGACTTTCATCATCCAACACTCAAGAATCTGCATGAACCGTCTTGAGTATCCCATCCTGCCACCCCCACACTACCAAAATGTACTTCCTCTTGTAATTAGGCGCTGCTCATGGCAACAGAGAGTTTTGAATGTTTTGAAGAAGCTGTTCCTCTTGTATTTAACTCTCTTAGATATGATTTATATTTCTGAGACATGTCGAGGATTATTGGGAGTAGTCTCACATTGGCTAATTAAGAGAAAGATCATGGGTTTATTTATAAGGAACATTGTCTCTCTTGCTATGAGGCCTTTTGAGAAAACCAAAAGTAAAGCCACGAGAGCCTTCAAAGAATTGGAGAAGGGACAGACACACAAATTAATTTTATCTCCTTTTTGTGGTGTTATACTAACTTGACACCATTTTTTTGTTATAATAAAAAAAAAAAAAAATAACACATTTCTTGCTACAAATCAGCTACCACTCCTTTCACTAATTCCACCCCTAAAAATCAGTTTCACTACTTCCACCCTTCCTTTCACATATCCAGGACTTTTTTTTTATGGAGAAATAAAAACACAATAAAATAAATACTAACAGCTATTTTTAACCAAAAACTTATAAACAAAATAAATAAATAATAAAAAATAAGTTTATAAACAACCGTCACTCCTGGTTTAACTAGAATGTGACTTTTTTCAAGTCAATCTTCTCTCTTTAACTCCAGGAATCGTTGTCTTGCTAACCGCTTTGTCAGAATATCCGTCAATTATTCATGTGTTCACATATTCCAATTCAATAGCTTTAGTTTGCACACATTGGCGAATAAAATGAAATCTGGTATCAATGTGCTTACTTCGATCAAGGTAAACATGATTTTTCGCCAACGCTATAGCTGATTTGTTGTCAACATAAAGTTTGGGTTGTACTTGCAGTTGACTGATGCTACTCAAAATCCCGCCCAACTATACTCCTTGACACGTTCCAGCAATTACGGCTACATACTCAGCCTCGCATGACGACAAAGCCACCACCTTCTGCTTCTGCAATACCCAGATTATTGGATTTACTCACAAATAGTAAAACACTCCAGTTCTACTATTCCTATCATCAATATCGCCAGCCATATCATTGTCGCTAAATCCTACGAGCTCCACATTCGATAGCTTCTTATAAACTCAACCAAAAACTTAGAGTACCTTTCACATACATCGATATTTGTTTTACTGCTGTGAGATGTGAAGTTGTTGGTGCCTCCATGGATCTACTCATCACACCAACTGAGTAGGCTATGTCGGGCTGGGTATTAACAAGATAGCGTAAGCTTCCAATAACACTTCTGTAAAGTGTTTTGTCAACCGCAGGTTCTCCATTCCCATGTTTGCTCATCTTCATTCTTGGTTCCATGAGAATCGAACAAGGATTGCACTCTCTCATTCCTAGCTTCTCTAGGATTTTTCTTGCATATCCGGCCTGACATAAAGTGATTGATTCACTGCTTTGTCGTACCTCAATACCCAAGTAATAGCTCAAAAGTACAAGATCGTTCATCTCAAATTCTGGTGCATCTCTTCCTTGAATTGAGCTATAACTTGTTTGTTTGAACCGGCTATGATTAAGTCATCCACATATGTGCCAATTATCATTGATTCAACTCCATTAATTTTCTTGTAGAGAGCATATTCCTGTGGACATCTCAAGTGACTGCAAACATTGATCAAGTTTAAAGTTCCAAGCCCTCGAAGCCTGTTTTAATCCATACAAGGCTTTACATTGTTTTAATACCATGTTTGGATTTTCCTTGTCAACGAACCCTTCTAGTTGAACAACATACACCTCATCTTCTAACTCGCCATTCAGAAAAGCTGTCTTCACATCCATGTGATGTACTTCCCAGTTCTTAATGGCTGCATAGGCAAGAATTAATCTCACTGTTTCTAACCTGGCCACTGGTGCAACTTCACTGTCATCCTAAACTGTTGTGTCTATCCCTTTGCCACGAGTCTCGCCTTATGTTTCATTATTTCTCCATTTGGATTTTTCTTCAATTTGAAAATCCATTTGATGCCAATTGCTTTATGATTCTTCGACAAATCTGTGAGTTCCCACGTTCTGTTCTTTTCAATGGAGAGAATTTCAAACTTCATGGCATTCCTCCAGTTTTCATTTTTAGCAGTTTCCTCGTATGAGGTTGGCTCCTCTATAGAAAGAAAGCAAAGGTCCATTGCTTCTTCCTCTGCTTCATTCAGTTCTCTATAAATTTCTTCGAGAGACTTGAACTTTTTCGACGTCGACGAGCTTGATAATGATGCATTTGAGGTATTATCTGGCGTTGATAAAGTTGAGGACAAATTTTTTCTTTGCCTTTCATCTGGATCAACTTCGATTTGTTCAATATTCCTCTCCTCTATTCTACCCTATTTTTCTAAAATTTGAACGGTGAAAGTTCCTTTTTGTTCATCATCACCGTTTGTGATTTCTTCCCAACACCACTTTTTCTCCTCTTCAAACAACACATCCCTGCTCACAATAATTCTGTTCTTTTGTGGATCCAATAGTCGGTAAGCTTTGGTTCCATCTTCATATCCCAACATAATTGTCTTCACACTCCTATCAGCAAGTTCGGGGAGGTGTGAATATATATTCTTGGCATGAGCAAGACACTCGAAGATTTTAAAGTGATGAACCTTCAGTATCTTGTCAAACCAAGCTTGATACGATGTACCATCTGCAACTCCTTTTGTTGGCGATCTGTTCAGAATATACACAACAGTTTTGACAGCTTCTCCCCAAAATTTTTCAAGCATCTTTTTGCTCTTTTAACATACATCTGATCATCTCTACAACCGTTCGATTACGCCTTTCTACTACGTCATTTTGCTGTGGTGAAAATGGTGCAGTAAGAAATCTCTTCATGCCTCCTTTCTCGCAATAGTCTTTAAAAGCAGTAGGTACGAACTCTCCTCCACAGTCCATTCTAACGCCCTTAATCTTCTTGCATTTCTCTACCTCCATCCTGATCTTGAACTTCTTACATACCACCAGTGTTTCAACAAAAACACCCACATAAATCGTGAAAAATCATCCACCAATAACATAAAATATTTGTTATCTCCATAAGTCATTGGCGAAATAGGTTCACATAGATCCCCATGGACGAGATCCAGTGACTCCTTCGCACGATATGTTGTTGTTTGCAGAAAAGAAGTCCTATGCTGCTTTCCAATTAAACACCCATCACAGAATTGATTGACCTAGGTGATTTTCGGCAACCCTTCAACCATTCTTTTGTCATTTAATTGCTTTAAAGAGTGAAAATTCGTCCATACCTCGCGTGCTAGAGCCAACCATCGTTATTGATATTACACACCAGATCCACAAGCTTTAGCTTTGCTACATACAATCTGTTGGATTTTCTAGTCACCATATAATCAAGCTCCTGATCCTGTCATATATCTTCATCACACTGTCCTCTATGACAATTTTATTTCCACTCTCGTCCAGTTGTCCCAAACTTATTATATTGCTTTTGAGTTTGGGTATGTAATAGACTTGCGATAAGATCAAGTGCTCATCAATTTTGCATTTGAATAGCACTATTCCTCGACCACAAATGTCTATTACAGAGTGATCACCGAAACGTACCTTTCCAACAACAGATCTGTCGAGCTCACGAAACACCCTCCTTTCTCCTAACATGTGGTTACTTGCTCTAATATCTAGGTACCAGGAATTTTCAGCTCCAATATCTAGGTACCAGGAATTTTCAACTCCAATATTGGCTGGTGGCAGCACTATAGTTTCATTCAACATCACAAAATCAAGCTCTTTGTCACGTGTGGTTTTAATTTCACACGCCTCTATCATCAGCAATGAAGACTCCTCATCCTTTTGCATCTCTATCAAGTTGAGTTTCATCTTTCGTGGAACACTTTGATGCGAAGTGTCCCATCTGCTAACACCCGTAACATTTAATTTTACTTTTGTCGAACTTCTTCTTCTGAGTTTGTGACTCTCCTTCATCTCCTCGATGCCAGTTACTTCTCCCACAGCCTCTCCATCTTCCACGACCCCGTCCCCTGCCTCCTCTGGAACTGCCTTGATCCTTCCCTTCTTTCTTTGAGGATTTTGCATTCTCTCGTCCCTTCCATTCTGCACGAGAAAGGAGAACGGTTTCATCTTTTTCTCCAAACCCTTGCAACCTTTCTTCATGTGCCTTGAGTGATCCAATAATCTCATCAACGGATTTTGTTTTGAGATCATTGAACTCCTCAATTGTTGAAGTGATTTGAAGAAACTTTGCAGAGGTGGATCGTAGAAGTTTCTTAACTACTTGGATATCATCCACTGCATTGTCGAGGCCTCTCAATTTGTTAACAATAATGGTGAGTTTTCCATAATACTCATCAATACTTTCTGAATCACCCATCCTCAACGCTTCAAACTCCCGCCAGAGAGTCTGCGTTCTAACTTCTTTCACTCTTTCCGCACCTAGATTCATATTTTCAACATGATCCAGACTTCTTTGGCCGTTTTCTTAGCACCCAACTGTAGCAACATATCTTCTCCAATACTTTGATAAATAGCTGCTAAAGCCATCTTATTTTGAGGCTATCTACTGTTTTTGGTGATGCAATTGCCTCCCAAACACCTTGTGGTATTTATAGCCATCTTATTTTGAGGCTATCTACTGTTTTTGGTGATGCAATTGCCTCCCAAACACCTTGTGCCATCATAAATACCTCCATCTTAATCGACCAAGCTGCATAGTTGCATTTTGTCAACATTGGGTATTTGAGTGTAACAGATCCCTCCTTTTCTTGAATCCGTACACTCACTTCGTTTGAGGCATCATCTTCTATCGCACCGATGCTTTGACTCCTGTCACTCGATTCCTGTCTCATTTTTTTATCTCTCTCCCTTCTTGACCGCTCAATCTCTAGATGAGACATGATTGAAAACCGACCTTGAGCTTGTAGCTCTGATAGCAAATGAAAGAAAATAACTGAAGGGAAGAAGGGGCAGACACACAAATTAATTTTATCTTCTTTTTGTGGTTTTATACTAACTTGACACCATTTTTCTTATATAATAAAAAAAAAAATAACACATTTCTGGCTACAAATCAGCTACCACTCTTTCCACTAATTCCACTCCCTACAAATTAGTTCCCCTCTTCCACTACTTACACCCTTCGTTTAACGATATCCTCAGTTTTTTTTATGGAGAAATATACAACAAAATAAAATAAAATAAATACTAACAGCTATTTTTAACCAAAAACTAAATAAATAATAAAAAACAAGTTTATAACCAAAAGCCTATGTTCAAAGTGGACAATATTATACCAGGAGGTCGTGGTTTCTAACATGGTATCAAAGATATGCCCTTAACTTAGTCATGCCAATAGAATTCTCAAATGTCAAGCAAAGAAGTTGTGAGTCTTTAAAATATGGTCAAAGGTGACTAAGTGTTGAATAAAAGGTGTACTTTGTTCAAGAGCTCTAGAGAAGGAAGCCTCAAGGAGAGGCTCTATGGTGTACTTTGTTCAAGGGGAGGATTGTTGAGGAGTAGTCCCACTTTGGCTAATTAAGAAGAAGATCATGAGTTTATAAATAAGGAACACTATCTCCATTGGTACGAGACCTTTTGGGAAAACCAAAAACAAAACCATGAGAGTCTATGCTCAAAGTGGACAATATCATACTATAGTGGAGGTCGTGGTTTCTAACCAACCATGCCATAAACCTCAAACTAAATGTGCTAGATTAAATGTGCATAGACCCATAAAACTCAGTCATATGAAAAGATGCTTGGCCAATTCAGAATATTTGAAACTAGGCAATGAATTAATTTTCTAGGCAATCACCTTGAATTCAGTTGGCTTAGTTAAGTGAAACACCAAAGAATCCCCATCTACTAACTGGTGATCAATGGCAAACCCTCTCCAACCACCACTAAGACCTGTTTTCTCGGCAAGGTATTTTGTTTGGAACTCATTTCCATCCTCGTCCAGCAGAGTAACCATTTCATCCTCACGGGGAAGGTGTTGCTTGCAAAATTGAACTGGAAGACCCTATAAGAAACTTCTTAAGACAACATCAGTGCAATAAGTGCCTAATATACATACTTTGTCAAATCATAAGCTTTAAAAATGAATCAAAGCTCACAAAATTCAGTAAAATGATCTACAAAAAGCAAAGCAGTTTGATCAGAAATATCATGAACTGACCAGCCAAAATCCCCCGGTGACATGTGATTGAAGCATTGGCTTCACAAAACTTGGGTATCTAGAATCCAGGCTAGATTGAAGGTCTCGTGCTCTGTCAATAGCATATTGCCTTTCTTCATGTGAAGCATAAACCCGATTCAACAAATCTCTCCGTTGATATGTCCTGTTATGCCAATCATTTTCGCTTTCTTAAGTTAAAAGAACTAAAAGTTCCAAGTAAAAGTAATTTGAAACCACATTTTCTTGCATACCTTCTATAACTTCTGTTACCTGGAAGTGGTTCAATGGGCACCTGCAGAGGCCAATAAGATATGAACATTAAGCTACATTGTGAAAGCCACCAAGAAAGAAACGAACAATCCAAAACAGGTAATTCAAAAATAATGAATCTAAATGCTTAAATTAGGAACTGTTCAATCAGAAAGGGCGTAAAACTCAAAATGAAGAACTCAAAGTCTACCTCCTTATAGTTCGGAGGGGGTTTATCCGCAAATCGGCTGGACCTTCTAACACTGAAGGACGAGATATCGTGTGGTTGGCGAGGACGCTTTAGCTGTTTCGTCTATCAGAATCCATACAAAGAGAGAGAACATGCTTCAAATTCATTATCATGTTGGAATATACATTGGATTATGAAGCATTTTGAACAACGGAAACCTACCGGAGAGGATTTAGGGCTGGAAGATTTCAGAGCATCGGCAAGCTTGTTGAGATTGAGCTCTTCCATCCTCTTCTTATTCTCCTCCAACCTCTGGCGTCGGCATTCCTCGTAAGTCAGGTTCGATTCCACCATTTTCCTGGAATCCAAACAGCACAATCCTTCAATCCCTTAATGCAAAGAGAACAAGAATCTGACCGTTCTAGAGCTGCCTCAGTGAACTGAAGTTTGTTCCCTTCGATTCTCCGGTGAGCGCCAACATGGAAAGCTCTGGCACTAATTCGAATTCAAACCAAGCTTGTTCTGGTTCAGGCTCAGCTGTATGAGCAATGAACAGAGGAGATGAAGAAGTGGATTGGGCCTGGACCTGGTCACAATGGGCTCTACAGATTGCTACACTAAGCCCATTTACTATCCAAGGCCTTTTGGGCTAATTTGGAAAACCCATGGGCTTGATAGTTCGAACTGAGGTCTTCATGGTTGACCAAATTTAATTGTTTATTTTATTCGACCCGACCTAGGTTCGGTGACCGGGTTAGCACCCCTCATCGCCTCTTTACTCGAATTAGATGTGTTACGATAGGTCTCTAATAATGATCGCATGTGTTTGCATTCCTTAACCTCAACAGTGGAGTCATTTATTGAATATTTTTTAACACCTCTCTACGCTTGATGTCGGCATCGCAATTAAAGAACATAGAACTTGTATAGGGTATTTGCATAGAGCATTGTTATTTCTATATTTACCTATGTTTATTTTAATATTTCTTTTGTACAAGACCTTTTCTCAAACATGTAAATCGATGACATTGTTTTATGAAGTCGTTTTAAATGAATGTTTTTGCATTAGTTATGCAAGATCTAATAAAAACCATTATCGACCAAACAAGAACTAACTTACTTACTTCTTGAGTGATAGTTTCACGATCCCAACCCTGCGTGGTCAATCTTCTTGACTATAATTCTATTCTATCGATAATGAAATATTTTCTACTACTTTGATGTGTGAGCGATCAAGTCAAAATGCTCAATAGCATATGAGAGTCAAAATCTCAACGAAACCGAAAAGCATGATCCAAGAGAAGGAAATGAGAGCATTAATGTCTTGATGTCGTACTTAAAATCCATTAAACCAATGTTTTGTCCCGGTTTACCGAATAAATTTTTTTATCGAATTTTTATGCTTTTCTCACATGTTATTATTTGGTAATGTTTTTGAATTCAAAGCAAATAAAATAAAACATGAGAAATCCATAGTATTTTAATATATTTGAATTTGAATTATATTACCATACAACAAAGTAAATTGGAGGAGGTGCGACAAGAGCATTGGTTGATAACAAAATGGGTGACATTATTAGAAACCCCAATTCTTTATTTTAATAAAAGATTTAAAAATTAATTAGTAAATTAATATTATAGGTTTAGCTCTATTATGTATTGCCAACTCATCTGAAAATATTTATTTAATAGGCATGTCACATCATTATTCTACTCATAACATTAATGATATAACTAATAACAACATAATTGAATTTATTTAAAGTTTAAAATTTAAATGTAATGATTCACTTTTTAATATAATAATTTTTAAGGTGAAAACAAACTAAAAACTAAAAAAAAAAAGTTAAGAGTATACATTTTAGGATAAATAAATAATTTTGTGTGAGTACTTTTAAATCATTTTTGAAAAACTATAAATTTAAATCCAAATAACAAATATCTCGAGTTTGCAAATAAATTTAGAGGTCTGACATTTTAGAGTAAATAAATGAAATAATGCAGAAGTATGATCAAAACAAGACAATAGTCTCTCATAATAGCTAACAGTCGCTTTTCGTCACAGTCTTGCACACCTTTACTCTTGTTTGAAAATATTTTAAAAGGTCTGAATATTTAAAATACTTAGTAAGGGATTGGGATTAGATATTCATATACACAACGAAATTATAAAGTAAATTACGGATCTAAATATTTAGAAAAAGGCCAACCAACCTATGACCTCGCTTGAGATAAAACAATTAATGTGTCTTTATCTGAACATGATCAACCATTCTTGGAAACAAAATCCTATCATAATTTTACAATAATCAAGAATTTAATATATTACCCTAGTCAATTCTGATCCAAAACCAAGTATCTGAACAATTAATTTCCAACTTGAAAAAAATAAACTTGTCCCAACTGTGAGATTTCACATCGATTGAAAAGAGAAACAAGTGTCAACGAGGATGCTGAGCCTCGAAGTGGTTGATTGTGAGATCGCACATCGATATGCAAATAAACTCTGAGGATGCATACACTTCCTATTTATTGATTCATGCTTATAATGTTAATATGATTATATAGTGCCATGTGAGACACCATGCACAAATAATATAAATGTATGTATGAAAGTGTAATGTGCTACCATGATTTAAAATGCATGATATCATACATGTTGTATGTCACAAACACAAACGTACAAATGTGTACGTTACAATACAATATGCACTCCTTTCTTTTCGTTGGTAATTCTTATGTCTAGAGGTACATATATAAATCTGCTTAGTGGATTCATGCCTATAGAGAAGTAGTATGCATTCAACCCTCCTCTGAATATACTTTTTTAAGCACATGGGTAGGAATTTGTTAGGAGAGTGGGAGAAAAAAGAGATATAGTTAGTTGGTTTGGTGGAGAGTGTAATTTGAAGTTTGGTGAAAGAGTGAGAAAAAAGAAAGGTAGAAAATTTGGTTAGGAAGGAAGTCCCTTGCTCACAAAGCAACAAATTAAACAGGATAGCTTTGAAAAAGTTGTTGTTCTTCATCTCCTCCGGTGAAGCAGCACCCACTGAACTTCCGGTAAACTACAGAGGAAGATTAATGGAGTGAGGTTTTGCAGAATTCAAACTCAAAAGCTTCAAATATGACTTCAATAACCTGCCTTGGAATCACAGTGATGAAACAGGAAAAGGGCCATTGTGACCCTCAAACGGGTATTTATTAGAGTCTCACGTTTCGATTTAATTAAGAGATTGATCATGGATTTATAGATAAGAAATATATTTTCGTTGGTAGGAGATTGATCAAGAATTGGATTGATTTTTTTACTAGACCAAAAAAATGTCACGTATAAACCAATTCAAAATATATAATTAAACTTACCTTCCGTATACTAGAGAGTTGAATGGTAAACTTTGTTCGATTAAAAAAAAAAATTAATTTTTTTAATTAAAAGAATAAAAAAGGAATAATAATTGGAGAAAGAAGGTGTGGCCGCAGATCCAAAGCAAAGAACGCCGGGAAGACCACCACTCCACGTGCAGAGCTCCTCCCTGCATCACTCCCCTTCCCCTTCTTCTCTATCCAATTTTAAAACTATTTCCTAAGCTTTTTTTACAAATTTTGGAGGCAAAATAAATATTTCTTTTGGTCTTTCGGATAAATGAAAAGAATTGGGAAGATTCTAATGACTTCAAAAATAATTAAATTTACATCAATCAACATAAATCAATTGAATTAAAAATTAACTAAATTTGAAAATATATTTTTTGACTTCTATAATATTTTTAAAATGAGGAAAAAAAGAAAAAGAAAAGCATGAATTGTAATTTTGAAGCAAACAATAAAAATATTTGTGGATCAGACAGGATCATATGATGGGTGCTGCAATGAAATTAATATATACAACACAACAGTAATATTTAATGACCATAAAGACACATTCACACAAGTAAAACAAATTATCTGATTTCACAGTAGAGAGAGAGAGAGAGAGAGAGAGTTTTGACCTTGAATCAATGAAAGAAACAAAAATGAACAAATGTTTTCTTAGTTTGTTTATGATTTTTGAGATGTGTAGCACCTCAACCCAATTCTGCCAATTTCGTTATCCACTCACCCTGTAACCTAAGCTAAGCTGCCTTTGCTCAACAATTAAATGGAAATTCAAAAGGCTTACCCTCTTAAATCTTATATTTATCACACAAATATCTTCTAAATTATCAATTCTAATATGTCTACAAATTTAGGCATAGTTGCAAAGTGGGTACTCCAATAAAATAACCCAAACATCTCAATAAGATAATGTAATATTGTCTCCTTGGACTTTTCCTTTCGAACTCCTCATTTTAAAAATGGTCCATTAGCGAGATGTTTCCTCTCCCTAATATAGAATGATTCGTACTCTCTCCAGCCGAATATAATGATCTCACAGCGGAGACGGGGTGGGGTCTGTAGCTCAGAGGATTAGAGCATGTGGCTACAAACCATGGTGTCGGGGTTCAAATCCCTCCTCGCCCACAACGGGCTAAAAAGGGGAGGACTTTTCCTTTCTGGGAGTTGGAAAATCATGATCGGGATAGCGGACCCAAAGCTATGGAACTTGGGTCTGGGTCTTTTGTCGAAATAGAATGACCTTATCTTTTTATTTTTTCTTTTTCATTATTCATCTTCAACCGAATCGATGTAAGATCTCACAATCTACCCCCATTACAAAGAATGATTCGTTCTCCTCTCCAACGGAATCGACGTGGGATCTCACAATTCACCTACTTATGGGGCCCAGCGTCCTTGCTGACACTCGTTTCCTTCTCTAATCGATGTGAGTCCTCCAATCCACCCCCTTCAGAAATTAGCCTCCTCGTTGGCACATCACCCATTGTTTGGCCCTGATACCAACGGTAAGAGTCCAAGCCTATCGCTAGCAGATATTGTCCTCTTTGAGTTCTCTTTTTCGAATTTTCCCTAAAACTTTTAAATCAGACTTCTAGGGAGAGGTGTCCACCTCCCAACTCTACTATATCTAGTTGTTAAAAGGGAACTCACTCACGGTTTCACGTAGGTGGGCTCTAGCTACTCTGAACCTTCATTGACCTCTAAGGTGTTAATGCAAGGCATTTCTTAAAAATATTCACTTTTTACACCTCACATGCATACACCTTCCTTGCCACTACAAAATTAATGCAATGGGTAAAAATGATATTCTTTTTACCCATTTGATACGAAAAAGAATGGACACTAACAACAAATATTATGAATCATAGGAACTTTTGGGTCATAATGAAATATGAAAACTAGTGAACAGATATTCTTGGAAATTTGGAAAAAGTACGACAGAGAATAATATATGATGAGAACATATTAAATCATGCATGTAATGAATCTTAAATGTAACAAAACTCCACAAATGGAACATCATCACAGGTGACAAAAGAGGTTCCAGTGAAAATTTTGGTTCCAAAGAACAGAAATTGTCTAACCTCAAATAGAAAAATTGTGAAGGACAGAGAATTGTTTACCTTTCGCCATTTCTGTTGAAGGGTGAATCCAAAT